ATTATTATTATTATTATTATTATTATTATTATTATTATTATTATTATTGTTACTGTTATTATTTGCTATTATTGTTGTTGTTGTTGTTTTGAAGTCAATAGGAGCTAAATTAAGTTTTTACGTCCTATTGAAGAGGTCAACAGGGTAACAAAAAAACACAAAAACAAAAATTTAATGAATATATGAAAACCTTATGCTTATAATGGAAAAAAAGTAACAATATGAATTTGATAAACTTTATATGATATTGTGACAATTTAATCTCTCTGAACTCGAAATTTTTTGAATTTTTTGCAAATTTTTTGCAAATTTTTTGCAATTATTTGCACTAACAATTTGCGTTTGGGAATATATGAAGAGATTAGTTATTTTAATATTTCAATCTTTCCTAAAAATAAACAAAGACATGTCATAGAGCAGAAGCGTAAGGTATACATATTATACATATCATGAAAAAAATAAAATAAAAATTTAAATTTAAAGAATTTTTTTTTCTGACACATTTTTAGTTTCATACCAACGATACTATGCAATGATATTATTGCTATTATTATTTCTATAGTTAATTACGGTAATAAAAGAAGTAATATATTATAGGATGAAATGAAAGACGACCTAATTGTTGTTATATTCATCGAGCATACCAAGAAGTTTTCCAAATGTCACCAATTAATTTTTCAGTTTGGTTTGCTCATTTATTCGGTTTAATTTTTTAATTTTTTCTTTTTTTCCTATTTGCAGTCATAAATATTTGGTATAAATTTTTGATAGAAATAAAAATAGAAAAAAAAAATTATTTGCAGTAAATACGTTTCTTTTTTTTTTTGGGAATGATAAATGTTTGATATGAAAATGAAACAAAAAATCCCACAAAAAATGTTATAATAATTATTTAATATATACTTTTTTGAAAAAAAAATTTATGGAAATTTTGAACAAAAGGAAAAAAACGAATAAAAAATTGTAAAATGAATTATATAAATTGATATTGGTTGAAAATTAATTTTTTCGTATAAGAAAAAAAAAAGTTAATTGCGTTTAATTAATTTTTTTTTTTTGTATTATTTGTATTTTTAATAATATTAAACACTAATTTTTCTTATTCAATTAATTATTTTGCCATAAATTTTTTAACTTTTTTTTTTTGTTTTTGTTTTCTGTTCAAGCCGGTTTGTATGATATATATATATTTTTCAAATATTCTTCAACTCATCAAATTTTCCCTTAGAAAATTTATCTGTCACTTTTTTTTTTAGTTACATTGCTTTTTTTTTTCATTTTTTTTCGCTTTCTTTTTGTATTATTTTGATCTAATTACTGTAATTTATTTTCAATCATTAACATGAACATATATCAATTTATGCTGATCACATTGTCCATCTATCATCGGCCATTGTCCATCTACCACACACATCTATCATGCTGTGTACTATGTTTGAATCCAAGTTCTGTCGTCATTAATTTTTATGCTTTACTAAATTTCACTTTATTAAAAGCTTCCGAAACTTGTTTTATTCTTTTCTTATCTTTAGTTATTCAGGTTTGAATGAATTGGTAAGAAGTAATTGCAGGGTATTATATTTGTAGTAAATTGAATAGATAAAAGAGTGTATTTATTTTAATCAAACTATTACTGCACTGAAATTATAATTTATGTAAATAAAGCATTTAATTAAAGGGAGAATTAGGCTTATAAATGAAATAAAATATTCAAATCAGGTAAAGCTGCCGGTCGATGAATCCAAATATTCAAGTTATGTTACATTGCCGGTCGATGAATCCAAATATTCAAGTTATGTTACATTGCCGGTTGACGAATCGAAATATTCAAGTTATGCTACGTTTCCGACCGATGAATTGAAATATTCAAGTTAGATTACGTTGCCGATCGATGAATTTAATTATCTGTTTATAGCAAAATATTATACCCCGTACTGGATTTTCTTTTTTTTTTTCTATAATGCAGCAATAAAACCATTTGTTATGTTAACAAAATTTTTGAATGTTTTATTTTCGTTATAAAAGTTTTCCTACTATGATTATTTCTTCATTTTTGCAGATTTTCAAAAATCTTACATTTAAAATATTTCATGAAAAATTATTTCTCTCATATATTACATTGATAATACTGGATGTTATCAAATCCAGCATTATCATTATATCAGATCACTGTTATACAATCAGTACCTTTGTTATTTTCTTTCATTTTTGCAGAATCTCATAACTTTCGTAAAAAATTCCATAAATATTTGTGTCTTTTGAATTAAATAAATCACTTTATCGATCATACAAAGTAACAAATATATATTGATAAATTCAAACGTTCTTAATTTAGTATAAATTCAAACGTTCTTAATTTAGTATAAATTCAAACGTTCTTAATTTAGTTATTGAGATAAACAGTTGTTACGAGCAAAACAAGATGACAAATATTTCTTTTTTTATTATTTAATTACAATGATATGAATTAAAATTATCTGTGTTATATTCTATTTATTCATTTTAATACTTTTATTTCCATTACTATTATCACAAAATTTATTTCATAAATATATTATTACTATTATTCTAATTAATTGTAACCATAGTATTCCTTCATGTGAACAATTAAGTGATTATAACTGATTTTAACTGATTAATTTACTGATATTTGATAAATTTATACTTTCATAATTATTCAATCATGAAAGTATAAAATTTTAGGAGAAAACTAATTTTCCTATAAAAAGTATCAAATTTGATACTAAAATATTTTTCAGGAAGTAATAAATGTTGCCAGAATGGAATATTGTTTTAATTATTATTGCAAAATTATTTGTAATACTTATTCCAGTAATTTCTTTGAATCCAATTGATAACATTTCAAATATCTCTGTTATCAATGATAAAAATATTATTGCTGAATTACTACAACAAACTATTATTACAAATACTTTGCCTTCTTCTCCTCTTCCTATTACAACTATTACCACTACTACTGATATTACTACAACAACAACAACAACAACTATTACTACTGCTACTACTACTATTATTACTTATAATACGATAGGATTAATTAAAAATAAAAGTATGACACAACATAATACTATCAATCCATTGTTACAAGCAACTACAACCAATCAAATTATTGTACAGACAATTAAAGAAGTATTAATATTTTGACAAATATTTCTTCATTTTTTAAATTATTATAATTACTGGAATTAGCGCTTTTTTTCTAATTAATTAGTGCTTTTTTCTAACTAATTAAAGCTTTTTTCTAATTAATTAATACTTTTTTCTGACTAATTAGTGCTTTTCTTCTACTAATTAGAGCTTTTTTCTAATTAATTAATGCCTTTTTCTGACTAATTATCGCTTTTT